CTGCTTTAAAGTCAGCATCAACCATAAAGTAAATCTGTCATAATGCAGCTACTCACTAGAAACTCATCAGTGAGAAAAACCTTATTAGTTTTACTTTTAGTAATATTTCTGAATTTATTACAGATTTAGTCAGTCATGCACTTAGTTCTTATCAGTGTTCAAAAGAGAACGTGTTAAAACTCTGTTTGGTCAAAGTTAAACATGAAACATCAAAGGTCATTACAAGTGGCCCTTTGAGGGCCGCCATAACGCTCATGTGGCCCTCAGTGAAAATGAGTTTGACACTGCTGATTTAGGACAATGATTGCAGTTGAAGGCAGTTTATAATCCTTACAAGACACTTTAGAAAGCCAACAAAAATGTGACAGGAGATAAAACTCTGATACATTTTACACGAGGACCTGCAACCCAATGAGTTAACAGATTTTGACATCAAAAATAACTCCAAATTTGACAGAAAATCTGAACATTTGAGTCTTAAAAAGTCTGGAATTTAAAAAGAAAAAATAATTTCTTTATGCAGTCACAAAAGTGAACTAGTTTCTCAGAAGAACACACAAACTATTACGCATATTTAAATTATTATTGGTAGACTGAGCTATACTCATATTTAATAATCACAGTAAAAGGGAATATTATGCTCTCCGTTAACTGATGTCACAGAAGATATGAAATTATAAATCAATATTCAGAACATCACTTCAGAAATGACCATACTGTCCCTTTAAGTGGTTAATGCACTGTTTCTCTCTTTATGCTCATAGATCGAGCACAAGAAGATCTATGGCCCCTTGTGGAAGTCTAAATATGGCCCCTTGGTTGTGGTGAATGTGGCCAGCGCTGAGCTCATAGAGCAGGTTCTGAGGCAAGAGGGGAGACATCCGGTCCGGAGCGACATGACCCACTGGAGGGGCTACAGAGAGCTCAGGAACCAGGCCCATGGACCCCTAACAGAGTGAGTACAGCCTGTCCCCTTTGGTCCTCAGTCCTGGTCCTGGTCTGATGTTGGTCAGCTGCTTTGGCAATGTCAAACTGTTCCACTAGATCAGACACACAATGTGTAAAATTGATGTTTTTTCTTCAGGAACTTTTATGTCATGTGACCCAGGTGTTCTGTTTGAAGAGCTGATGAAGTCCTGCACCAGTTTTTGAGCTATTTGTTTAACTTTAGTTGACATGTTCTAATGTAAATATGTTCATATCATAACATTTACCCTGCAGTTTTCATACATTTGGTACTGTGGTTATTTTTACTTTATTACCTCCGCCAAGGAGGTAATGTTTTCGGTCACGTATGTCTGTCTGTCTGTGGACAACATTACTCAAAAACTTGTGGACAGATTGTCATGACATTTTTACCACATGTGTGTACTGGGCCAAGGAACACACCTTTAAATTTTGATGATGTTCCGGATCACGATGCGGATACATGATTTTTTTTTTCTGTTAATCCTCTCAGATCGGCAAAGCTGTGATGCTTTCACAGGGCTGCTATATAAAACAGTGAGAGCATTCAGTGTTCATTTGAACTGGATTGGACAGCACCAACTTCAAACTTTATAAAAGTAATGTTAAAACCAGATGTAATGATGAATAAGTCTTGCCATAATGTGCACATTTTTATGCATTTGGTGCGCATTTAGAGCACGTCTTCTGACCAGGAAGTGTGTGACTGCAACATGAAGCCTATTTTTCCCATTTCCTCAAACACACGATCGATGAAGAACGAGGAAGAGGAGTGATGCGCACAGGTGCGGTGGACTTCAGACTCGGAGGTTGTTTGTTTGTT